GGGGTTAAACTATATACTGGAACGATGTCTTCACATTTCTAAGAGTTATGTATCTTGCCTAGGTAAAAGTATGACATTGTATTTTATTTATTTACTGATATCTTGCTCTCACTCGAGTTTCCACCTTTTCAATCAGAAAAAAAAGAAGAAAAAAAAACCTGTGTTGCTGCAGAGGTAAATTCAGAGGTATTTTTGTACTCTTCCTTCCATGCACTTTGCTGTATAGTTCTATTTATGGAGACTTCTACTTGTACACGTGCAAAAGGCCAATATTAAAGGTGTCACTATGGACTGAACAGAGTGCCTGTGGAGGGAGAGGCGTTGGCTGCGGCCGCCCACACTGACGAGCTCTTCGCTCAACTCAAGAGTTTCTTCCTAAAATGGTGCATAACCATTTTTAAAGCTGCATTAATAGATTTTTGGCCGCTTGGGGGCAGCTGAAACCTTATAGACCGGCATCACATCGATGTGTCGGGCGCCTTGATGTTTTGTGCCGATGAGGTCTATAGAAACCTGAAGTCCTGATGCTGCTAGCTGTTGTTTCGCTAGCCTTTGTATCTCAGCACAAAATGTAGGGTTTCTCTCATCTGTATGTCTGAAAAATGTTAATCATGTTCCTGGGTTCCACTTTTTGAAAATACATAAATGAGTATCTACAAAGTTCAACGCTTCACGATACCTTCAAATTAAACAATTCATTTGTTACAGAAAGCTATTGCCCCGACAAACATTTTCCTAACTTTCTGCCATAACCATGATATACACCAACACTATCTTACAATGTAATTTTTCCGACTATTTAGCTGTAATTTCTGCCGTCACAAATCTGCTAACTTTAACCATTCGAGGTCAACGCTTAACCTCGACCATCTCGCGAGAGTTTCGCAAATCAAAGGTTACCATCGAGACAAAATCGTTCGGTGCTTTCTGACTACTATTGTTACAGCGAGCCGTTCGTCTCGCCTGCGGACTATAGCATCATTCTGTCGACCTGGTGACATTTAACCTGCAATGGTCCAAGGTTTACGGAAGCATGTTAAATGCCACTGAAAACAGATTTATACTTTTTATTGTTATTATTGTTTACCTTAATTTCCTTGTGCTTAGTTACACCTCCAGTAGACACACGTCAGTGTTAGCATTTATTTGGAGTCGTGTTTTTTAAAACCTGATGAATGTTAGTCCAATTTGATCTTTTAGCTTTGTTTTGTTGACTGCTGATGAAAATATCTGTCTCTTCAGCTGCTAAATGCTCCACTTTGGTCACAAGCTGGACGCTATCTTTGATTGATGTTTGGTGCTGTGAAGGTAGCGTAAACTGCTCAAAAAATTGGAACTGAGGGGAACTGGCAGACTTTGGGGTTTTTCAATTAGTGCAGCTTTAACAAAGAAAAATCTTAATTTTCTTGACATTACATAAAATCAAGGTGGTTCCTATATCAGATGTGTAGGTGTTTTGTTGGCAGCACTTCAAAGAAAATGACTCAAATTTGGCTTCATGTTTTTCCATAACAACCTTTGCTCATTATGTAAAGAGTGGGTGTCAGTGCTGCTCATTTTGGATTGAAACTCTTCAGTGAAGAAGCAGGTGTGGGTGTCAGAGCAGCAGATAGCTCCAGGATGAATATGAAGGTAGCCTGATGCTGAATGCTGTTTAACACACGACTGGTGCTTTTTAAATAACAAGAGTAAAAAAAACACAAATTACACTTTTAAAACTCCCAAGAAGCAGCAGAAAAATATGTTTATAACTTAATTTGAATAAAAGTGTATGTTAGTATATAGCAAATCGATTCTTGGCTAATTTAAAAATCACCCAAGAGATTACCAAAGAGGTGTGATGAAACATCTGTTTAAAAAAATGAAATAAAATCAAAAGTAAACAAAAAAAAGAGTGACAGTAAGTGGCAGTAACACTGTATTTCCACGAGGGGGATGTCAATCTCCAGTCCCTGTGGTCATCCCTTCTTCTATTTCTCTACGTAGCACTCTTCCTCCTCCTCTTCCTCCTTAGTGTTCTTCCTTTGTGGTGGGCAGTGTTGTAAATACGTCTCGTGGCTGAATCGGATGCCCCTTTTCCTGGCCCTGGACCACACCTGCTCACCCCACTCCGTCTCTGTCCTCTAACACATATATAAACACACACACATTAAGAGTAGAGTGAGGGGTCTACTGCTGCACAAGAGGGAGGACACTAGGCTGACTGTCCCATTCAGAGGCAACACAAAACCCACATTATGTACATCATTTTCAGTGTATGTTTACATAGACACAGCATAGGTGTACGGGGGGGGGGGGGCATGTCAACACGACTCACATCTCATCTAACAGGATATCTGCAGTCGCTTCATCTGAGCCAGTGTCAGTGGAAGTGTGACGTTTTTATTATCTTCTTTTTGGGGCTCACTGTTTGCCCTTTCCCTTGTTCAAATCCTAAAATATTTTCAATCTCGAGTTCAGCAGGTATTCATGATGTCAAGGAATTGCCAGTGTTCTTAGTTTTATCTTCGCCTTTAACGGCTATTTGTATATTTCATTTGGTTGTATTTTTTTATCTGTCGGGGATGTGTTGAGCTGAACGTCAACCAGTGTGTGATTGTGTGCTGTGCATGTCGCCAGGCTGTGCGTCCTCTTCGCACTCGTGTGTGTGTGTGTGTGTGTGTGTGTGTCTGTGGATGTGTGTGTAGGTGTGTGTGTATGTGTACGTGTGTGTGTGCATGCACAGGTGGGGTTGTTCTTCACAGGGGCTCTAAATTGGTTATGTTATTGTGTCTTAAAAATACATGTCTTAATTCTGTAAAAGATGAAAAATATTTATCATTCACTTCACCTCTCAAGGCACCAGTCTACCTTTTCCTTTTGTTTCTCAGCCTGCGGGGTAGAAGTGAAATATCACCGTGTAGGAATTGGACAAATGAAGTTGTGAAACACTGAGGAAAGCTTAATTGATCGGGTGAATACTGTTCTTTTTAACTTCTTTGTTTTTTCTGGCCTGCGATGAGATGTCAAAATTTAAAAAAAGCAAATTTCCAAAGCTGACGGTGTTTTGAGATCAACCCGTTCTGTTTCTTCTACTGTGGAATAAAAGCAGCTTTCTGGTTCACAAGCAAACTCTAGTTGCACTGACTAAAATCTAAAAACTATTAATCGTATCGTCACTGTCCACAAATTATCTTTTCAGGAATGAATAACTGTTTTTTTGAGATTATATGTTTTAAAAGGTTTCCACAAACAAACCAAAATCCTCAAAACTCACGATAAAAGTTAAAAAAATCTCCAAAAAAGTTATTTGGAGTTTCACAAAACAATAGTGATGGGTTGCATCAGTGCATGCTGTTATTTAATTATGTGGCAGTGAAAAAGCACAAGCCTGTCGTCCCAAACTGGTCACATGGAGGTGTGGATTTCTTTTTGTGATACACGGTTCCTGGCATGGATTAAATGAAATATGTTTATTTGATAATGGCACGTTTAATTTTGCTTTTCCCATCCAATCCAGACACTAAGTGAAACAAGTATTTTGTCCCATTAAAAACACATTGTTCTCATTTTGTAGATGCTCTTAGTTCATTTCTATGAAACCAGTTCTCTGTCTATTATCTCATAACTTTATATCAATGCTCTCCATATCTGTTGGTTGCACTTCACTGCATATCTTAAATAAATTGAATTGAATATCTGCATCAAAATCCAGCAAAGCCTCCTGGAAGTGTTAAATCAGACCACATGTTGCCTGCTGTGGGAGGTTTTTGTGTTTTTCATAATGCTGTTAAAGTAGCTGAGAGCAGAACGGCAGAGGAACTTTGTTTACAATTTGCAAACTGCTAAATATTTAGTTGTTTTTTTTTTAACAGAGGCAATGGTCCTGTAAGCTGCAGAAAAGTAACAGTGAGATTTTTGTTCAAATCCGAAGTTTATTCTGGGATTTCCTGGTACATAAAAGCTTAAATAATTATCAAAGGGTCCTGTCTATCTCACTTTAATACACTCTGTCTTTCTCTCACCCTCACAAGATATAGCCTTAAAAATGCCCTCCATTGTGCCCGATATCTAATAAAAGAGCTTGATCTTAGAAGAAAAAATCAAAATGCAGAAAAAAGCTGTCACACATATGGAAGAACATCTCCGCAAGAAAGAGAAAAAATATATATACAATAAAGATCATAATAAAACAAAACAAGTAAGAGATAAAAAGTCACAACTTTGACTTCTCTCATCATTTTTATTTAGTGAGCTAAAATGTAGAGTTGTATTGTTGACTCACTGTTTAAAAAACGTGACTTAGTTAGCAAGATCTGACTCATATCTGATAATTTTTACTATGTCATTTTTTCATAATTCTTACTTTGTAAATTAAAACTTTCCCTTTTTCTCATAATTTTGACTCAGTAAGATACATTGCTGGCTTTTCATAATTCTGATTCAGTATATCATCATTTTCATATAGTATGCATATTGACTGGCCAACAGTATTTTTATTTTTAATGTGACTAACTTTCCATCTGTTTTTTTTCTTTCACTGGCACAAATGGGCTTCCATACATACGTTATCTTCTCTGTCACAATTTCCCCAAATACATTCTTTTTTTATTTACCACCTCTGTGTGACTACTCTGATGATATCCCGTATCTATAAATACAAACCTTAAAAGTGCAAAATCCCCATGAAATGTGTCAGGAAGTGGACTGAAGTTGAGTCTCGGTTGGATTCGTCACTCGTGCTCTTTGGCTCATTGATCCATTTTTGCAGACCAAACACTGAAACACTGTTATTGCATCTCCACTGTTCGTACAGGACAGGTTTACCTGAACTGTCCTCAAAGCTCAAAGTATATTCCTGATGTCTCACCACATCACATTTAGGGTTTATTTCCTTGTGTTGTTTCTCACGGACAGGATGGAATTTAATCAAGTAAAAAAAAGAAATTTGAGAATCTCTGAATCCTTTTCAAGAATCTGTTTCTAACAGGAGGGACATTTGTTTGACTTTCAACTACACACACATACACACACACACACACACACACACACACACACCTGATCCTGTCATCACATCACTGAAGTAGTTGGGATTGTTCATTTGACTGTTTGTTATGTTGACTGTTTTTTACTCCTTTCTATGGATTCTGTTTTTATTTCAGGGAATTATGCATGGAATTTAACATTAGTTGAGTATTTTGTTATGTTTTGGTCATTTTTGTTTTTTGAGGGGGGGGGGGGGGTCAATAACTAAATAAAGGAGACAATTTGAAGAAAAGAAAACGCTTCCTTGTGTGTGTTTAATTGGCGTGCAGCCGGTTCACGCTGTGAGGAGAGAGGGGGACCAGCGTTTGACGCTGAAGAGGGCGAGAGCTAAACTGTTGCTGACGTGTCCGTGCACCAATAGGAAGCCGGGGATGACTCGCACGTTGGTACAATTGGCTTAAAAATAAAGACGACTGCGTCCGATGGGTTGCAGCGATGATTGGGTGAAGGATTGTGCATTGGAAATCACCAAGCTGGAGCTGCGTGTTTGTTAGCAGCCAGCGGCGACTGAAAGACAGACGATGCTGCAGAATGGTGCTTCTAGTTTCCTGCAGTGTTTGGGTGCCGGTTTAGCCGCTACTTAGCTTTGTGTGTGTGTGTGCAGACGCTGGGCGCCCCAGAGCTGCCAGCCGCGTCAGGTGGATGCGCCTGCAGTGATCCAGGTCGCCCCTATGGATCGCGTCCATGGATGTCTTCAAACCCGCTTTGGACAACAGTTTGAGTCCCAAGGCGTCCGTTTCCTCGTCGGAAGAAGCAGAGGCAGATGTTTTTCGCTGGCCGAGACCGGATGATGGCATCAGCGCCGCGCCGGATGCGGCACCCGCAGCGCCGGGCTTCTGGACGGCCGTGTTCGACTACGAGGCGACCGCGGACGACGAGCTCAGCCTGCGGACGGGGGACCTGGTGGAGGTCCTGTCCAAAGACTCCCTGGTGTCCGGAGACGAGGGCTGGTGGACCGGTATGATAGCAGACCGGGTTGGCATTTTCCCATCCAATTATGTGAGCAACGGGAACGGCATACCGGAGGAAATACGGGACACCTCGGAGCAGCAGTACTCACTGCCTCCTCTGCACCGTGAGTATCCCATTGTGCTAAACTAGCACAGAGCTGCTACTGCTGCTGTGTGTCTCCCCCCTTGTCGTCTGTCAGAGGGCCAGAGACACAAACCCACGTTGAGAGTGCTGTGTCATGGTAGGCGCAGTGCACTCTGGTTGGCCTAGAAACAGGCTGGCCCAGGCATCCTCACAGCTTCTGGGCCGTTATTCATCACACTGCCTGTCAACCCCAACAGCCAGCTGTGATGCACCCCACCTCAAATTGCAACGCACAATGTTGGCTGCATCCTCAGCAGAAGGATCATCTAACTGAACATGCAAGTCCTGTGCGTGCAATATTACCATTAGATATTGTATAAAGCTATTATTAGGCTCTCTAAGGAAATACACTGGCGTGGTATGCATGCAATGTCACGGTGACTGGTGGTGTTTGCACCAAGATTGTGCTGCAAGAGAGAAAACGCTCCTGCAGCTAAATGTGCAGCCAAGGCCTCAGACGGATCCAGTAAGCAGAATCAAAAGCAAATAAAATGCACTGCACTGTGGGATCGAAAGTGAGAACACTTTGGTGCCAGCTGTGTGCAAAAGGATGCTCTTCAGCAACAAAACCACGCCACAGATGATTACAAATCTCATATCAGCTTGAACAGGCAAATAAAAGTTGCATTTTAAGGTTGAACACCATTTGTTTTGTCGGACCGGACCACACCGCCTCAGCTGTCTTTGTTGGCTTTCATCTCCTCATACTCTGCAGCAGCTGGCCTATTTTCACATCCCATCCCACCTGAAATATTCATCAAGGTCAGTCTGCTTAGTAGACTGTTAGGAATCCACAATATTGGAGTTTAAAGGCACAGACATAAAGGCTGCTGTTCACAACATCAAACACACCTTTTCATTTAAACTCTTTCTTGCTTCCATCCTTCTCCCACCGTCCCAGCCAGAGTTGAGGACAGATGCTCACACTTGTGTAGTAGCAGGAGGGGTAGTTCCACCACATCCTGTATTTGGGGCAGCGGGGTGGTTTAGTGAAGGCATCCTTCAGCTGATTGACCTGGTTTTGAGGTCCTTGTTGGCAAACATTTGCCTTCCTCAAGAGTAAAACTGTGACCGACCCTGACCTTTTAATGTCATTGGAAAGGCGTGTGCAAAAAAAAAAGTACCTGCCTGATAAAGACCAATGTTGAGTGATGAGATTGTAGTTGTTTTGTCTCTCTAAATCTTTGTCTTCTATTCCTGCATCTTTCCTCAGTCCTGGAGATTGATTTCTCGGAGCTGACCCTGGAGGAAATCATTGGCGTGGGCGGTTTTGGGAAAGTCTACCGCGCAGTGTGGCAGGGCTCAGAGGTGGCGGTGAAGGCGGCACGGCGGGACCCCGACGAGGACCCGGAGCAGACTCTGGAGAGCGTGCGTCAGGAGGCCAAACTCTTCGCCATGCTCAACCATCCCAACATCATGGGTCTGCTGGGGGTGTGTCTGCTGGAGCCCAACCTGTGTCTGGTCATGGAGTACGCCCGGGGTGGCCCCCTCAACCGGGCCCTCACTGGGAAACGCATCCCTCCGTGCACACTGGTGGACTGGGCAGTGCAGATCGCCCGGGGCATACTGTACCTCCACAGCCAGGCCATCGTCCCCATTATTCACCGGGACCTCAAGTCCAGCAACAGTAAGATTCCCTCTCTCTTGCCATCCCATGGTTGTTTCTGCTTTCTGTTGAGAATTTCTCCCAAAATTATGCATGATTTTAGAGCCAACAGAACATTAATGAGCTCCAATTTTGATTATTTTAATAGGAATTATTTGTAAGGTTTGGTGATTTAGTTTTCGGATTTCTTCTAAAAAAAGACAAACAAAACAATTCTAAATACAATTTCCTAAAGTCCAATGTGACGTCTTCACGTTGCTTATTTTGTCTGACCAACAGTCCAAAACTCAAATATTTAAAGTTTACAATTGTATAAAACAGGCAAGAGTGATATTCCCTCACATTTGAGAAGCTGGAACTAGAGAATGTTTAACATTTGTTTTTCTTTAGAATTTGCTTAAAATGATAAATCACTTCTCTGAACAGTTATTACAAATTATTACTTTTTTTTTATTTTTTATTATGGGTTTTTAGTCAGAACCATCTTTGAAACACCACTGTGGGTTCTAGCAGCTTCTGTACCATTCAACGTTTTTGTCAAATGATAGGCTACACTAAAAACTTAAATACTAGTTATTTACAGCACTAGTCCTTTGTGTCCTTAGTGTGTTTCTTGCATAGTGTCGGGGTGAAACTTTCATCAACTTGATGGGGAATCAAGAAATTGCAGTATCATCAGTCTTGTGGCAAAACCTACAGTATCCTGTAATATAATTATAGATACTCATGTTTCATCCATGCTTTCTGGTACACGCTGTGATTTGCAGTGATAATAATCACTGTTTGGAAAAGAGAGCAGAAAAGCAAAAGGAGTTTGCATGTATGTTTGTGGAGCGGTTGTAATCTTGCATTTTACCCAACTGGATCCCCTAAATCCCAAGCCTATTACTGAGGATTTGTCCAGCGCTCGGCCCCAGCCTCCTCCCTATTGGTGGCTCCGACTGTACACACAACCAGCTTCTTGCCTGCCATTGGCCCTTTCTCTGATGATCAGCTCAGGCGCTTCACTTCCAATAGGCTGCTTTAAAGTGTTAAGTCAGGCTAACCAGTTGCCATCCTGGGCTCTCAGGGGAAAACCCATGCCCTCTTCACAACACAGGGCAGTGCATCATGCCAGTCCACTCTTTTCCTTTTACTTTTAATCCTTGCAAGGGTCTAATCCAGAGTTTTTCTTTCCTTTCTTACCTATGAGATCACATTTAGGTTCTAAGAAGCAGTTTTTATGTGATTAAAAACCAGTATGTTATTCATTTATTTATTTATTTATTTATTTATACACACACAAAACACACACACAAAATAGGACATAACAGTTTAAGAAATCTACATATGACCTCATTTTCTTGTCAAGTGGGACCTTGTGTGGTCTAAACCACTGCGTTGAGAAACTCTAATCAGTGATTACAGAAGTCGCTCAGGATGTGGCACACTGAGACTCCACACTGACTCCACCCTGTGACGCAGCCCTGTGGTTGGTGGCGATGTGAAGCTCGGTCCCTAAAAAAAAAAAAAGACACAAAAGTAAACATTTCTTTCCTGCAACTCTATAGCATTTTTGTTTTCTCCAAGGCTCATAAACTCTCTTTACAGCTTAATTTCCAGCCACATTAGCATTGTGGTTCCAGGGACGACAAAGACGGTCAGTCGGTCCACCAATTGTGTCCAGACTGAAGTATCTCAAGTATGGGATGGATTGTCATTAAATTCTCTACAGATACCCCAAATGAGTTTGGTGATCCCCAGACTTCCCTCTTGCATCATCATGAGGTTCCCTTTTTTGAAAGATAAATTTAACAGTGTAGAGACAAAGCCTGGAAATGGGGGGAGGGGTATGACAACTGGAATCGAACTTGTAACATGGTGGCATACGCTGTAACTGACTGTAACCACTATAAAGGCCCACTTTGGTGATTTTGAATAAAATGTCAACAAATTGATGAATTACCATTAAATGTGGTACACTTGTCCCCCACAAAATTACTGGTCCAATACTTTGTTTCATGAACAAATATCTGCAAAACTATTTTTCATATAGTTTTCAAACATTCCAATCAGCCTGAGATATACTTAGTATTTAGTGCTACTTAGCAAATGTTAGCATGCTAACTAAGATGAAAACCATAATAAACATCAGCATGTTAGCTTAGTCATTGGAAGCATGTTGGCACGCTATCGTAAGCTTTCATCTCAAAGCATCCCGGTGCTGAAGTACAGCATCATGGTGCAGCATGGCTGTAGACGGTATTGATTTCACTATTTATGGAATACACCTAATATAAAAGCCTGGTTGTACACCACATCTTGGTGTTTCAGTTTCCACTCCTCCTGGTGAAACAGCGGCGGTTGAGGTGCACCAGAGAACGCTCAGAAAGGAGACTGAGTCAGCTTCTTGTTTCTGTATCACATGGGTTTTATCAATTAACTCCAATGGTAGAAGTGTATATGTCCGATTCTTTTGCTCCATAGTCGCCAAAAAAAAAAAATTTGACCCATTTAGTACAAGCTACATATCTTCAGAACAGTCTGACACTGAAACAGGATTTTTCAGACAGACATGTCTGGGGAAAATTGACTTTGTTCGAGACCTTTCTCTGTCTCAGCAACACAATCTCGTGTGATCTGACAACTAACGTTTTGGTCATGCTAAATATGGCTGTTGGCTGTGTAAATATCTAATTTTAGCAAAAGAAAATATGAATACATTATGCAAATAGAACCCAATCTGCTTTTATCCATCCACACGACGTTCACAACTTTCCAAACGAGGTGTGGGGGATGAGGAGGCGAGGTGAACGCGCCATGACCACGCCATGACCACGCCATGACCACGCCCACTTAGGAGACAGGAAGTGTAAATACCAATTCAAACCATTGGCGGAGCTTGTAAAGCTTTTGTATATAGAGCATCTGTGGGTGTGCTCTGTACACCTTTCCCTGACTTTAATTAATGTGATCAATATGTGACACCAGAGCATGGACATTATTCTTTCCATAAAAAAATCTTTTGGCAGCATCCAACAAACACTACATTTGCTGATGTGAACTTGTAAAACGCTAAATCTTGCAGCAAACCGAATTGTAATTAATGCTTCAAAAACAAAAGGTGTGATAGCAGCAAACACTTATTCTATTTGTAAGCCACTCAGTAATTTGTCATTTAGCAGTCTTAATCACTTAATCCGCAACAATTTAGTTTGGTTTGTACCTTTCAACTATCTCTGCTGCCTCCCTCTCACACAACATGCCCTTTCATAGATGCTCTTATCGAAAGCACTGTGCATTACAGTGAGTGCATATGTTTTGCCTCAGGGGGGAATCAGCCGTGTTTGTCTCATGTTCTGCCTCCTGAGCTGCACAGGAGCAGGATTTACTTAAGCCACACGTCTGGGTTTGGGTTTCTTTAGAAAGTGCCTCTGTAGCATCAGAGCCGCATGAGCAGCAGATGAAGGGGCGCTTGATGTGCACCGCAGCCTGCAGACACACCCTCTCCACTGGGCACAGCCACAGCAGATGGCCTGGCATTGTGGATCTGAATGGGGGAGAGAGAGGGAGCATGTGGTTAGGAGGAGCGCTGGTTTGTGCATAGTGGGTTGTTTTTTAGAGCCTATCAGAGCAGATGGGTGTGTCACAACAAGCTATTTCTGTAGTTTAACTGTAGTATTGGTGTTTGTTTGAAATGTCCTGTTACTCAGTGAGATCAGTGTTTTTTTTCTTTCTGCTGTTGTAGTGGCTCACTGTCTCTTCATTTCTCTTTTTCTCTACTCTGCTTTCATCCTTCCAATCCTTTCATCATGGCCTCTCACCAACCGCACCCTGTTTTTGTTCATCCACCATGTTTTTGCGTTCCCCCATGCGTTGTGTTTTACCTTCCCCAACGTTACAATCCTTGTGATGATGACCTGAAACCTTTTTACTTTACCGTCAACCCACCTGCCAACTTGCATCCTCCACCACCACATCCTCCCAACCCTCCTCCCCATCCTCCAAACAACATCCCCACATCATCCTCCCGCTCCACCGTCCCCGACCACCTCAGTCCTGATCCTTGAGAGGGTTGAGATGGAAGACCTCAGCAACAAGACTCTGAAGATCACAGACTTTGGGCTGGCTCGGGAGTGGCACCGCACCACCAAGATGAGCGCCGCCGGCACCTACGCCTGGATGGCTCCCGAAGTCATCCGCTCATCTACGTTCTCCAAGGGTAGCGACGTTTGGAGGTGGGCAGAGGAAGAGAAACAAACTGCACCAGGTGGTAGAACTGGTCTGAGAAACATCAGACCAAGAAGCAGTTTATTCACCCTGCACAAGGAAAAGTTCAGCTCTGGCAGCAGTTGCTGTAGTAACAAAGCACAGATGAGGCTAAAGAGTACATGTAACTATAAATATGCATTCAACATTGACTTTATCCGTGCAGCACGAAAGTTCATCTTGTGTAGATTTATGTTAACAGTCTGGTACAATACAGTGTGATATAGCACTGCATATTTCAATTCATCTTTTTCTTTTCTATTTGAAGATTTAAAGACTTTTATTTGTCACATGCTCGTACATTAAAAGCAGTGAAATGCAGGTTGGCATACTCTTGAGTCTGTGCTAAACGGGCTAGTATGCAATAAAGAAATCAAGAGTGAAGATGAGAATGAGGAAAATAAATATAAAGGATGAAAATTTCAAGATGACGCAATGTAATATCTTAACGGTTGAGCTGTATGTTGGCTACGTAAAGGTGCTCTTTTAGTTGATCCAAAAGATCAATTATTGAAATAGTTTGATTCATTTCAAAATAATAATAATAATCAAAGTCATATTTTGAGCAAAAATGCCAAAACCTTTAATGCCTTTAGCTTCTCAAATGTGAGACTTTCTCTAACATTGTATAAATCTTTGGGGTTTGGACTGCTGGGAGTACTAAACAATCAATTTAACGACATCACTCTGGACTCTGAGAAACTGTGACCTTTCTATGGAGCTAACGATTCATGGATTCAATTGAGAATACCAGCAGGTTAATAGATAATGTAAATAATAATGTCTCGGCTCGAACTGCAGGTTAAACCTGCTTTAGAACACTGGAGCTAATTGGCTTTTGCTCTGTATATGAACCTCATGATGTTTGGCAACTTTTGATACAGTTCTTGCTATTGTAAGACCACAAAAGCAAAGATGACGCAGCATACGTGAATATCCTAGTATGTGATTCATTGTCACAGTGCAGTGATGCTTTGGTGTTGTCTTTTTTTCAATACATTTTGAGTTTGGGACTTTACAATGCTCTGGAGTTATTGGAAATGTCTGGAACAAAAATCCAGAATTCATAAAGTGAATAGACATGTAAAAAAAAAAAAAGCAGCAACATTTGAACAATGATTTAGAGTTTGAAGCTTCCTTCAGTACGTTGACATTCAGACTATTCAGGACAGCCCTAGCTTAAAGGCAAGTGTAGAATAAAAGTTGGTCAAATGATGATCCTAAATAATTTCAATGGTTTGTTTTGACTGGTTTAATCGTCACATGATGGTTTGCATTAGACAACACAGTCTGAAAGGATCATTTCTTCAAATGCTACCACTTGCGGTATTTCCAGGTATTATTTGATGTTCATTTGGGTTTATTGATTGATAACAGGACCAGTGACTCACTAGGTAACTAACAACAAATCCATAACTATTATCTTAACACACTTCTTTCTGGTCTGTTTGATTTGTTACAGGTCTTTTTCTCACAGTGCATCAGTGTGTGGTTTTGGCAATAGTCTCATGGATCTGTTTGCCGCTGCGCTACTCTGTTGAGATTTTCATATTTTGACCTTTTCTGTCTCGCCTTGGTATTTACATGAGTGAAAAATAGTGCCATTCTAATCCTCCTTTGACATTTCTTTTCAAGCGGCGCGCTTCGCTGTAGACTCTCACTATATTTCAGCAAACATCCTGCTTGACATTCATATATTCACCCACACATTTATTTTCAGAACCAGATTGTCAATTGTGCAATATTCAGATAGTATTTCTAAGTATTTACAGATTAATTCAGCACCTATATTCATGTTTTTCTCCCTTTTTTTAACGGTAAAGTTTTGGCGTGCTGTTGTGGGAGCTGCTGACGGGAGAAGTTCCCTTCCGTGGTATCGATAGTCTTGCAGTGGCTTATGGCGTGGCAATGAACAAGCTGGCTTTGCCCATTCCCTTGACCTGTCCTGAGCCCTTTGCACGTCTTCTGGGTGGTAAGAGACACTAAGTACTTTTATGCTCAAAGCCAAGAATCCTCCTCCAAATAAGATGGAAATTATTTGAACTGTGTCCAAACATTTTGTACCGGAGAGCCACAGGCAAACAGAAGTATCTGTTTATGTGCCAGAAAGATACCGTTGAACATTTATTATTAAAGTAGTAAAGAAAATTTAGTTCAACAACTGCAGCTAGAAAAGCCTCTGAATTCTAACCGAGTAGCATCGTATAAACAGAATATTTGATCACTTTCTGGAACCATTTGAAGGTCCAAAATGTTTTTTTGCTGAGGCAAATTTGGCTCAAGGTTTTTGAGACTGTTTCATCACGTGCCACAGAATGCTGGAGCTCAGACCCTCACTCCCGGCCGCAGTTCCCTTTAATTCTGGACCAGCTGACGGCCATCGAAGAGTCCGGCTTTTTTGAGATGCCAGCAGAGTCCTTCCACTCTCTGCAGGATGACTGGAAACTGGAGATCCAGGAGATGTTTGATCAGCTTAGGACCAAGGAGAAGGTAAAGATGAGACATTCTCTACTGACATACATGGTGGAATATATTTGCATAGGGACGTTTAAGGTTGGGAGTTCATTGCAGCTGTTTCACAGGTTCCATCGATTTTTGTTCCCTCAGGAGCTGCGATCGTGGGAGGAGGAGCTGACCCAAGCCGCGCTGCAGCAGAAATGCCAGGAGGAGGCGTTGAGGAGGCGCGAGCAGGAACTGGCCGAGCGGGAGATCCACATCCTGGAGCGAGAGCTCAACATCATCATTCACCAGCTCTACCAGGAGAAGCCCCATGTGGAGAGCCGGCAGGGCAAGTTCCGCCGCAACCGCCTTAAACTCAAGGATGGGAACAGGATCAGCTTACCTTCAGGTACTGCAGACAAACTGCAGTGTATGTCAACAGTATGCACAACATGTCTGGAATATTGGTCATCATAATAATCAAGATTTTTAGAATTGTATAGACGTAAGCTATAGAGTCCATTACCTACTTGGACATCATCTTCAAATTGATACTTTTTATCTCATAAACAGGTCACACCCACCTCCAGTTTGAGTTGAACTTATTTTATCAGTATCAGCACCCATACCTCAAATAGTGTGATGTCATCAATATCAAGGAAACTGTCAATCAAACATTGTGATATTTGAGCTTGTTGGTGTTGCCAAGCCTCGTCCCAACAGTTCACTTAATTTGATGAGCTTTCTGTCCAGCTTGTAGGCTGATTAGGTGACTCAATTGTAAAATGCACAAACAAAAAAAAGTAGATAGTGTGAATGCAGGCAATTTGTCATTGTAGATGGGAAATTGACCTTTAGCTAAGCCCCGCCCCCCTACTGCTACTCCTTAAAGCTGTCAGAGCTGCCATGGAGCCCATACAGTCAATAACTTCACTCCCTGAATAAATATTGTCTAATATTTGGCAAAACTGAAAAACGATTTCAGAGAGAAGCAGATAGAAGGGTCTACAATAAACAGACGACGGATATGTCCAGGATATCAAACTGATGTTAAAAAGACAAAGCTAGAAGCTAAAGCCTATAGATCAGTTAACCACCACATCACCTGGCAATCAAGACGGAAGACAATAAAGTTAAAGAACAAACTGTTGCTGTGAAGTGAGGTCTTTATTCACTGTTTCACTCATAAAAAAAGCAGCATGTCTATACATTCAGTAGCTAGCATAGCATGCAAGTGCTTTCGCTAGTTAATGATGTGCTAACATACTCAGCTAATGTTAGCTCCACAGCTCCTTTGTTTTAGAACAGTGTGACAGTTGAGGAGGAGGATTTGTCTGAAATTCCTCCAGTCTCCTTCCAACCTCTCCGGTCAACGAGTATCTCTCTAACATAACGTTTAACCATGACTGTCTTCAAATTATGCGATTGCTTGAGTCTATGGAGCAGATCCGGATCCGATGCTACGCTATGATTGGCCAGTCTGAGTTCGAGGGGCGGGACTGATGGAATGGTCAATGGAAAATTAGATGGCAGATTAAAAAAGGCTGGTTAGCCAACACTAGAGCGCAACAGAAATGTTGATGAACATATGTTTATGTCAGTACTGTATTTAGGCGTGTGATTAATGTTTAGCTGTGTTATACCATCATTGCTTTGGTATATTGTTGCTATGACTTCCCTGCGTTGAGGATATTTTCCGAAATTTGAACAAATATAATATATGCAATTTGGTTATTGTTATTTAGCTAGAAAGTTAAATACAGAATCTTTAGATATTGTTATTATTCGATTTTCATAGCATCATATTCCTTATTTAATGTGTTGTGTTTTTTTAATCCTTATTTAGATTTTCAGCACAAAATCACAGTGCAGGCGTCTCCCTCACACGATCGGCGTAGGAGTTTGCTCAGCAGCGGTTCCAGTCCACCGAGCAGCCCGCCGATGCTGTCCCGCCTGAGAGCCATCCAACGTAAGCGCCGTCACTGTCTTGTGTTTAAAATTGTATTTGATTTAATTGATAGTTATTACCATGGAGCACAGAATTTGTGTATTCTCCAATGATGTCTCAATTAGCGCGGTTTTCTCCGTTCAGTTATTCGTTACATTTAATGTTTGCCCTTGATATCCGTTCTCATGTTTTATTTTTCCAGTCACTCCAAGGGAGGGATACACAGCCCGGGGTCGCAACACAGGTTTCCATCAGGATGAAGACGAGGGTGAGAGGAAGGGCTCCAGGGAAAAAGGCAGAACCCGCGGGTGTGGCCCGTACAGGGAGCACAGCGCTGATGCCACGTGAGTCCAGAAATAGTCCCACCTTCTCCAGATAACCGTAATGTTTTTATGCCTCTGCGTCGATGACAGCTGTGGCAGGAGGCGTCATGTTTTCAGGTTGTCCATCTGTCTGTCTGTCTGTATGTCATCCCGTCAGGCTGTGTGTTTATTTGTAAACTACAAAAATATCTGTTTTCCATCCTTTTAACCTGACAGTGTGAAGCCTCCCCATGAAGGCAGCAGGCAGCGGTCCTGCAGCGCCCCAAACCTTCGCAGATCCCCGAGACACAGTCCAGCAGTGCCTGGAGTGCCAAGCCTTGTGGAGATGGGTAAGCAGGGCCATCTCCCTCTGTCTGACATGCAGTTTGCACACTCCACCTGATAACACAGCTGCAGTCTAAAGGTTAACGCATTGGCTGACTGGCTGGGAAAACATGGAAGGAGGAAGCGAGAGATAGATAGTTCGCTCACACACGGCTCTTAGTGGTTGACCAAAGCTCACAGATGTGCATGTTTGTGGCTGTGTGACTGTAAACAAGCTGATCCCGAAAAAGCATCATGCACACTCGGCAAAACAAACTTGGATACGGATTGCAGGCATTTTCGTGGCTCGTCCACTGTTCAATATCAACGACATTCTCTCTGTGAATATATCTACAAATACTGGTTTCCTATGTATCTGCTTCAGTTTCCATGCATTATAAGACAATATGAATGATCCTGTTTACAGAAAATGAAGACTGCTGCTTCACTACTGAGCCAGGAGCAGCACCTGATCAGTCCTACCTCTGCATCCCCTTCCACAAGGAGGGCCACACGGCGGCTGCTGACGGTGATGGAGATGAGTACTGCCCCAGCGGCCAGGTTCCAGGAACACCACCATGCAGGAAGAGTCCCGGTGGGGGCCGGCGGTCTGAGCTTGTCCTGCTGGGCTGTGGAGCTCTGCTGGCAGCCGTCGGACTGGGCTGCAACCTGCTGACTCTGGCTCAACCGGAGGAGAGCATCAAATCAAGATGGGAAGGTTTCTTCCACAGAACAGGGGGCCAGAGGCGGAGCACCAGCCCCCCGACTTGCAGACTGTTCCGGCGGGAAAGCCCGCTGAAACCTTCGGCGCCCTCGCTGCCCGAGCGAGGCTTGCCCTCCTCTTATACCCTGCTGTCCTTATCATCGGTGTCCGACTGCAACTCCACCCGCTCACTGCTGCGCTCTGACAGCGAGGAGCTGTTGGTCTGCCGCCCTGCCTCACCGCTCAGACAGCATCCGGCCGTCCAAACTCCGATCAACCCGCTGGTCAACACCCACCTCGAGAGCTTCAAGCGTAACCCCCGCCAGTCTCTCACGCCCACACATGTACCATCTGTCCCCAGTTCCGCACGTAGCCTGCGTCGAACACCATCAGACGGCGCCATCAAGAAGAGCTGCCCTTCTTATAATCTGGAACCATTGCCAGAAAAAACAGCATTAGAGAACGCAGGTAAAGTCTGGCGTCTTTTTTAATTCTAACATGTGCAGTCATAGGAGTGTTTATGTGACATTCAGTTCCCTCATAGGACATCCTCAATCATACAGTATTATTGGCATGATAATAACCAACCAAAATATTGGTCGAACCCAAAAGAATTCAGTCTGGAAATATTGTTATTCTTCCTCTTCACAACAACAGGCTTCAGAGGTTTAAAAGAAGACTGTCCAGAGGTCCCCCGGCTCCCCGATCCGAATCTTGTGTTCCCTCCGACTCCCCGTCGTCGCTGTGCTCCTGAACGCCCCAAAACCCTTGACTTTGTGGCCCGGCCTCGGCCGTCACCACGGGCGCACTGCGATAGGTTTTGGGCGGACGCGAGGCCCAGGGGAAACGGACAAAACCTGGGTAACGGCGAGTCCCCCGCCCACACCTCCAGCACAGAGACTCCTCCGACTGTGGAGTTTGGTAGGGACCCGGCGGTCCTGCCCACCCCCATGGAGGCCCCGACGCCCTACTCCCCTCGAAAGAAGGAAAACCTGTTGGATCGGCTGGATGAGGTACAGTGCCGGGATGGAACCGTACCACTCTGCAGACCGGAGATCAGCTTTCCCAAAGACTCCCCTTACCGCTACAGACCTGGATTCTGGTCCTAACTCTGCCCCGAACAGCCCTTCACCGGTCCAACACAAGGAGGGGACTGTCCCTGCTGTTAGCCTTTGGTTTCCCACAGTTCTGGGTCAATTATCAGTGACGGAATGAATCTGTTCTAGCTTTAATCAGGACTCAATGGGGGTGGCTCACCTGTCCACATCTACAATATTGCTGTTAAATTACAGAAAGTCATTTACTGTGAATATTTTACCTCACACTTATTGCAATTTGTGATAATAATTCTCATATTTGGCCTCTAAGAGAAGTATTTTAAGATACCCAGGTTTTGCATTGGAGTGACAGAACTTTCTTGATTGCTCTCACTTACACAGAAACCGTTCAAAATTATTTGTTTAGGAATAGGCTAACTACTGGCTTTATGGCAGAACGGCATCGACAGTTTCACAAAGCTTTGCATACTTTTTTTTTTGTTTTGTTTTTAATTTCAAGCTTGAGTTCCAGATTGTGCATTCAATGAAGTGCACTTTTGGAAAGCGTCATGAATGTAAAGCTTCAGGTTTCTTCCATCGTCAAAAAACTCTGTCTCTGATTCTCCGTAACTTGTCGGTAAACGCATCTTGTTATTTGAACTCCTATGTATAGTTCACTCTCCTGTGCCGGTGGCTGATGGATTTCGAGTACCTGTCATCACCAATCACTTGTACACAGCAATATCCCAGGAGATGGAGACGGGGGATGTTGTTGTATAATATCAGCACCTCCTTTAACCCGCCGTGTCAGTACAATGTCTGACACCGTCTCGAGCCCTGCACGGTGAACTTTACTATAAAGAAGAATGTCGCTGCTGCATCGGGTTTAAACTGGGACCGAAATGCTGTCAGGAAGTTGCAACCAAATATATGAGAGAGTTAAATTCCCCGTTGAGTCCGTTCTTTGTTTGTGACCCTGTCGGAGCAGCTTGTTTGGGTCCCGAGCCACCAGTTGAGAAACATTTCTCCCAAACTAAAAAGGGAACGTTGTGTTTGTAACTCTATAAATTGTCTGCCTCATAAGTTGTTGATGAAGATGGGATGTAAGTTAACGTATGAAAGTACTGTTGAATGGCACACAGGTGAAGCAGGCCCTGGTGGCGTGTGGAAGTTCATTCCTGATTATTTATATTTATTTAATTGTATTTATTGATTAATTATTTTGTATTTATTATTTAATTTATCTTTTTATAATTCATTGCATTTGCCTTGATTTTTGACACTTGTTAATGTCTATGAATGTTCTTAGAGTTAAATGTGGCTTCAAACGAGATGGAGCCACATTTTACTTGCTTCATATTGATTTGTCAGTTTCTCGCATTTAAAATAGTCAGGTTGTTGTTTTCAACATCTTTAACAAGGGTGCAACTAGCTTCAATCCTACTATAGAACTAAAGCTGACGCGATGAGTTGCTGAATCAATATTATGAAGCGAAAATTTCAAACATTCCCGATTTCCAGCGTCTCAAATGTGAGAATTTGCTGTTTTTGTTCATGTTTTCTCTATTTTTCAGACTGTTATCCTGAGAAAACAAGCAATTTGATGACTACACGAGCTTACGTGAATTGTGACGGGCAATTTTTAATTGAGAAAATAATCAACAGATTAGTCAATATCTAAAATAATCATTAGTTGTCGCTCCAAATACAAAAAACATCAATCAAATCAAAAAAGTTATTTAACTGAGCCTAATGCATTAAAACTGGTCTTTGCATTTGACTTGTTTGTCTGGACTAGACTGGGATTGTTTGAAGGGAATTCACAACACTGGAGGAATTTCCGTAAGTGCCAAGTTACTGATGCAGTCACCGGTGGGAAATCCCACCTGTCGACTGTCAAATGTGTCAAGAGCTAATTAATGATCAATTATTAGAAAATACAAACATGACTCTGGTCTTCACGCCTGTTTCTCTCTCCATTTTCAAATGTTAAGTGGCCTCTCAGCCTGGCGGACGGCATCCTCTGAGATTTGATCCGTCCTTTTTCCCCGAGAGTGACCCGATTCTACGTGTAAACGCGAATGCTTTTTTTTTTTTTGTTTTTTCTCTGAGGACTGTGCAGAATGTGAACATGCTCGATGTACAAACACAGTATTTCAACTAAGAGTGCTAGTTGAAACAAAGCTTTCTTGTCCGAGGTGTAGCCAAGGTGTCGTTATCTGTCTGAAATGTTACCACGAATAAGCTGATCTTACTGTTGCTGATGGACATTGTTCAAGTTGGGAATAATACCGTTATTGACTGACTTGTATTTGCACTGGAACACACTGATTTGAGTAAAATCATAGTAAACAATCCAACTGGGTCACCTTTACTTTTATAAAGCTCTGTGTTTCCTCGTTGAATTAATGTGTATAAAATCTATATTTTTATAACATCAATGAATCACAAGAGAGAGCGACGTCTCCTATGAAAGAGGTCTTTCACAGCGATGACCCAATCACCTGACTCCCGTGTTGAAGCATCTTTCAGCTCATTGTTTTGATTTACTGGCCCGAAACGTTACTGTTTTGGTTCACTCTCACCGCTCTCATTGAGTTGTTTGTCACAGGCAGCAGTTTTCAGAAGGAAAAAAAAAGCTACAAATGTGTCTGTACGCTACTTTCCCAGCACAGTGTAGCATTTATCAGCTAAGCAGCCGCATATTAACCTCAGGCGTTAGTGGAGAATAGCAACAGTTTGTTCTTATTATGCGTTAGCGTGAGATTTCAGTCACGGGGCCAAGCAGAAAGATCGTTACCCGGTGTTTTGAAGAACCATGTAGGTTGTTTAACAAGACTTACTGCTGTCCTGGTGGTACTTCCAGAATCCTCAAAGACTCTTCTAACCATCTGGATGAATTTTTAAATCTGTCCAGGTAACTAACGCACATTGGAGAAGTTTCCCTTATGGACTTTCTGACATAAAGGGTTTATTTTAACCCAAACCACAATCTTTTCCAAAACCTAACCAAGGAGGGTTGATGGCTAAAATGAAGGAGATTTATGTCAAAAAATCCCTAAAGGCAGACTTCTCCCATGTGCATAACTGACTGGTGGCCATCTTTGTTTGGATCAGGAAACACAGGTTCAGGTTCAGGTTACTTTTATTGGTACCTGTAGGTAGACTTGGTTTGCAATAGAGGGCGAGGCAGCCATCTCAACACAAATTACAATCAACACAGACAACAAGACCAATGTGATAAAAGTACACAAGGCTACAAATAAAATAAATAAGTACACAAACGTTTCTGTAGCATCTGTGCACTGTTTGTTCACCTGAGTAGAAGCTGAAACTCCCTGTGCAAAGGGTGGGGGGGGAGTCCTTTAAAATGGAGCCGGTCATCCGTTGCAACTGTCTGGTGTTCAGGGACTCTGGGTTAAGCTGTGACTCACCATTTGATACAGAGAGTTTCTGTTCTTTAAAGATAGGTTTCCAAACCATGACACCAAAGGAAAAAGATCAAATCGATTCAATAAAAGCACGATAACATAAGGTCATCATGGTGTTAATGTCAATGTGGAAATAGGAGTTTCCTCAAACAAAACTAACGCTGGTGCACCTTTTTGCACACGGCTACACAGTTTGCTTCAAAGTTCAGTTTTGAGTCAATATTGTCCCAAGATATTTGTAAGATTGTACACATTTCTCTGTCTGACCCTTAATGGATATGTGTTCATGTGTGTGGGCTCGTCTTCTAAAATCAACTGTCATGTCTTTGGTTTTAGATATGTTTAATTGAAGATAGGACTCCTCATTTCACAAAGTTGTCGATGACCGGGCCGTGGCTGGTCTCATTGTCCTGTAGCCGACTAACAATAACAGTCATCTGCATACTTTAAGATGGTCTTATTTTCATACCTGCTCCGACACATATTTGTAGACACAGTTACTTCTGCATTGTGACACCACGCTTCATTGTGTCATTTTCTTGGAAAATCAACTCCATGACTCAACTTATTACTCGAGCCTCACCATGGCAGCTACCGAAGGTGAAAGGGTACAAAATCATTTCAGTCACTTTTGGTTCACTTATTTATTTACACATGTCGCCTTTCGGGAACATAGGAAATCCACTGCTTCATCACAACAACAAAAAGTACTTCAATCAATAAACACATTTATTACACGCAGACCTTTACAATAAACATACAGTATTTGTTGATACAGTAATGCTGTGAATGAAGTGCTTTGTTTTGGCATCAATAAACACAAATCGCTTGTCTCTCCATTATATTTTTCATGATTTATAGAAAGTAGCCTATTTACATGTTGTGATATGTCTCTTAAGTTCATACTGCAATTAGCACCCATGTGCTCTTGATGTTCTTGCCCACAGCTAGAAACCTACTTAATGAAAGCACCTTTACTTCAGATATAATCGAGAGTATTGAAAAAAGTGTCTTTTGTTGTACTTTCAAAGTCAAAGTGTGTAGGTGGTTGTTACTCATTTACTCTGTGCCATTCAAGAGACATCTTGTGCGAGGGCACGCGCTAATTGGCAGTTACACTCGCCTGCAGACATGCTGGACTCACTCTGTGGAACTTGTTGCTCCTGTCTTTATCACAAGTGTTGGCCTGTATGTGCAATGTTTGGACTGGCAGTGCATCAGTTTGTGATGGTTAAAAAAATGCTTGGGATGGATTCATACTCGATCAATTTGGCGGTTTGGAGACAGACACTCGGCATCAGGTGCGCAAAAAAAAAAAAAATGCTTCAAGCACACAACAATGAAGTTCAATCACATAACTGGCAAACCGGATGTTGTGCAAGGCAAAAGCAAACAAATATATTTTCACACCAAGACCTCTGACTCATGGTGTGTAAGGTCTGGGTGGCACAGAATTGGGCCGAAATTAGTGACGGGTGAGAAGTCATCAGATAGCCAGTCCTTATGTCGCCTCTTTCTTTTCCCTTTGGGCATTCCGGCGAATCTTCATCTCTGTCAACTGGATGTAGCGGATGGCGTTGGTGTCTGGAGAAACAAAGACAGGAAAAGGCTGATTTATTTCCCGCTCCGACAGGAAATGGCGCATCAATATGCACATAAATCCTCCCTGAAGTGAACTCAGTGTGACATAGTAAAGTGGATGCAGGAAATAACTTGTGGAAATGTTTTTTCAGGAACTACGAATAAACATGTTTTTGTTTCCAGATACAAGGCCATGCTTTTTCTTCTAATTTATCCTGCGTGTTTTTAAAAGGCTCTCACAGAACCAATGCTGGCAAACAATTATGTTATCAATCAAGTGCAGTTATTGATCAACAGTAAAGCGCTCAATGCAAAGTGATGAACCATTTGATGAAAACAAAAGTTGAATCTTGAGAATAATTTATCATAGATGTTTTCCCTAAGGTGATGAATCCCACCTTCACATTTAAAAACGATGTTAATTAGTCCTACTCTAATTCTCTGAACAGACGGATTAGTCTTTTGTTGATCTTATTCAATCTTGTGAATGGCTCATTGAATGGGTAGAACATGGTCTCAAAAAACAATATTTCACATGGCAATATGTGTTTAAAATAACCAACATGCAGCGACCGTCATGGGACTTAATCAGGGTTTCTTTGATCATTTAAAAAACACATACATGTACTAGAGAACTACAAAAGAGACCACATCACAACAATACTTATTTTATAATAATCAAATGGGACACTGTGAGGGAGACCAGCAAGAAGCTAAGTTTGCTTTGTTGTGTTTCTCATAGCTAAGGTTCCTGAAATGAGGCCTTGGGACCGCTGCAGGTCCCCGACAGGTTTCCAGGAGGTTCCCAGCATATTATAACTTCTTTAACTTCTCTCCCTAGAAGAAGAGCATAATTAGTAACCCTGAGGAGTTTTTGGCTGCTTGTAGTGATATATGGTTACAAGCACGCAGATGACGCAATGTGCATACCTGCCAATGGTCTCACTTCATTCCACTATTGTTCAGGTGGCAGTAACATGCAAAGAAGCGTAGCAATGCACAAACAAAGGCAGGGAAGAAGCAGACTGCAAGCTAGACAAGAACGTAAACAGCGCAGATGAATCAGCTCCGTAGATGATCTTTGAAGAGAGAAATGCATTCAACACCGTTTTTCAGACCTCAAAGATTCACACAATGTGTTTTGGTGAGTAAGACTGAAAGCAAACATGCATTTTGTTTGTTGACAACAAAACTCCACAGGGCACCTTTAATAAGAGGTTCCACTGTCACGGCTGCAAACAGCTCTTAATATTCTCTGAACATCATTTTTCCTGCCAGTCACCGGCTTGCTATTCCTCTCCTGTCCTGCAGTGGTGCCAAGTGTTTTCCACCGTCAGTCGTCACCTGACTTCTACACCCACCTGCACACCTGTTTCCAGTCCCGTAATTAGCTCTCCAGCATATTTGGGCACAAAACCAATGTCCCCCCCTTTTGGCCTTAAACCCTGAACCCTCAGGGACCTAACTGATGTCGCCTGTTAAATGTTTGAGTGTGAGGCTTGAAATGGAATAAATACAAATGGGTCTGCACTTTGCTGTGACAAATTCCGTTACCATACCACCATCATAAAATGTCATGTATAATTGTGGGTATTTATTTCATATTTTTTACTACCTTATTTGAACGTCTTCCAGGCTTCTGCTTTATGAGATGAGCGGTAACTGTTAAATAATCTATTTGTTTTTGTCAAAACAGCTTCAATGACAAAATTAAATGGTTGATGAATAACTCTGTGTAATATAGTCTCTGCTTTAATGTGTTTTTATGTTCCATCTTTAACTCTTGATGTTTCTAAGTAAATGTAATATGCCAGGCTTACCACCCATGTGCCGTCCTCTTTGTTTATCTTTTTAGCTTACATTTCCGGCTTCCATGCTTCCACTGGTAACCCTGTGTTTAAGGTCATATTGCTATGAATTGTGGGTAATTCCCTGAGGCAAAGTGAAGTGTTCATAAATAATGGCTGAATTCCATTTATCTGCTTCAGTTTCATGGTTCTGGTATTAGGCATGCTGGCTCACTGACATCTCTTCTTTTCCTACTACGACAAATTAAAATGTCTACTGTGAAAAATGCCTATATACTATGCATTCTATTGAAGCTTTATTTTTATTACGACATTGCTGGATTGTTGTCCCTTAAGCAGCATTTTGATGTTGTCGTCAGGTTGTGGTAATTCTAACAACTTGATATACTGTTCGGCAGTTTAATCTATAACAATGCATGTTTTTTTTGTTGATCCTATATTTTTGTGTAAAATCCTAATATATAAAGTGACCAGTAACTATAGCTGTAAATAAATTCAGTGGAGTAAGAGGTACAGTATTCCACTCTGAAATGTAATGAAGGAGAAGGTGGCCGCAAACCAAATCAAATCCCCAGGTATGCACGTTTGTTATTAAGAACACCACCATTGAGACGGCACTCAGGCCTGACCTGATGGTTCCTGTTTGTGTGACTCCTTCAGGTAGTGCAGCGCCTTCTGGAACTCTCCTAGGTGGTAGTAGGCCACACCGGATCGGTACAGAGCCTTGAAGTTCTTCCCTTCCTTGTAAAGCACCTTCAGACAGTATTCCTTCACTCGCTCGTAGTTCACCAGCTCCATTTGCAGCAGGCAGGCTGGCGTGGGGAAAGAAGAAAAGACAGGAGGAGTGAAAAAGTTACTGATGATAATGCACGAGCCAATGTTTGAATTTCATTATACAACAGAAGTGCTGCTGTGTGTTCTGTCAGGCAGCAAGCAAAGATAGGTTCTTTGGTTAATTCTTGAATGTATAACAAATATAATAACTGAATTTGCTGAGGGGTGAATAAATATACCATCAATATGAAGTGGATATCAAAGGAAAGTGAGGCGGATAGTGGGGTAAGCCTGAGAATGACTCATACTCATCATGAATCATTCATGAGCTCAGGACTATTCCCAGAATCTTTCTCTGTTGAAAATACAGCAGATACGTGTAGTGTGTGTGTGTGTGTGTCTGTGTGCGTGTCTGCGTGCGTGTGTGCGTGCGTCTTACCGGCCAAGCTGTTGTAACACTCCAGCTCTGCGTTCTCCATGTCTCCCTTCTGCTCATCCGTCAGCGTGGTGGACTTGCTCATGGTTGGCAGGAGGGGGGACGGGGGCTTGGAGCCGGTGTCCGGATCCCCCAGCACCCTGCACAGCCCCTTGATCTCCAGCAGAGCGCGGTGATACTTGCCGATCGCCTCTCGGTACTTCTTATCCTTGTAGCACTGGGTGCCTTGGCACTTGAAGTCCAGCGCGCGTCTCACGACGTCGGCTGGCTCGTTGAGCGACGGTTGTTTGAGCATGGACCCACCATGATGCCGCTGCTGCTGGTACCTGGCATCTTTGGTCCGGCTGCTGCTGCTGCTGCTGCTGTTGGGAGGCTGAGCGCAGTGCTGCAGCCTCGGGGAGCCGCCGCCGTTGTCGGTGCGGCCGCCTCTGCCGTCGTGCCCGGGCTGGATCACGCTCATTGTCGTCGATTTTATTTTAAAGCTGCCGTGGCGTCCGGCCGTTAAATTAGCTGAGGACTCTGGAAGCTCTTCTTCACTGCATCCTCTCGGCTGCGGCTACGTCTTCTCTGTGCTCAACCCTTGCGCGATGCGCGCTCCTCCGTTGCAGCCTGTCCTCGTATTTTTTTTTCTCCCCTCCGACGAGCCGATTGGTCGATAAATCTAAGCCAGTGGTCCTATGAGGGTCCTCCAGCAGGAAGAGGAGAGGGATTGATTTCATTATCAGTTTATTTGGAGATAATTCCATCATCAGTTTGTTTGCAACTGGACCCAATATCGTATTATTCTAAACCAGATTGACACTGTTTTCTTTGTAGATAATTGGAAATTCCAATCAGCCTTATTTGTTCTGAATTGACAAAAATCACATTTTTATCACAGTTATTATTTTTTAATTTATAATTATTTTCAGTGAAATAAGATTTGCTTAATATAACTTCATATATTTTATGTTCCTTATATTGTGTCTTGTATCGTTTTGTATTCATTATAGCAAAACAAAGCCCAAATAAAACCTTTTTTTATCGGAGAATGTAATTATGAATAATGGCTCATTTTATCAGATTTCTCTGAGCCAAGTTCCTTTTGAAATTACAATATTTCATCCACCTCAAACTAAATACGATCTACAGTAAGAGGAGCATTAGAGGACCGTGAATAACAACCCCCTCCTTCCTTATACACTTAAATATCCCTTTCAGTCTCTCGCCCTTATCTCCAATCGGAGGAATGCAGTCATCTCCACTCAGATGAATCAGATCATCCAGCCTGTCGTCTCTCGCTCGAGCAGCCCGCAGCCCGCAGCCCGCCTCACCCAGACTGCTCGCATTCTGCGCAGCCGCTTTGAACACACTCTTGACAGACTCCAGCCCCTATAACGACAGGCTATGATGTCATTCAAACCGGGGTTTATTCGGGGTAATGTCGTTATGGGCCTATATTATGAAGAGGGGAGAGAGGTGATGAGTACGGCCGTCCCTTTTGCCCTGACAAAAGAGCTTTTCATGTCGACTGCCATTTGATCAACAACACTCTGTGTGTGTGTGTGTGTGTGTGTGTGTGTGTGTGTGTGTGTGTGTGTGCGTGTAGTTCGTGTATTCACCATGCTTAAATCCATCTGTCCTGTCACAGTCACAGGGCAGTAAACTCAGCTGTCTGGGTGTGTCTCTGGAATTTCAGCTCTCTGGAAATGCTGCTGATCAGAAATAAAGACCACGAACCATGAGAGGTGTTACATTTGACTGATTGCGTAATGCTCAAACTGATGCTTGTTGTTGCAATATCACGCGCCTTTAATTGGGATCTATAGGCATGCAGTTGTTGTCGTGTAGGATGCACTCATGCACAAACCCTTTCTACGTCTCTAACACAATTTAATTTAAGGGTGTTTTAAAAAAAAATAAAAGTTAAAATACAATATTGCTAAATTAGGCAAAAAAACTACAAATCATTCCGATTAATGATGAGATGTTTGCGTGTAGCCCATGGGGGTATACAATAATACTAATTAATAATAATAAACAAAAAATAATAACAGTAGTGTCTCTTTCTAAATCATGTTCTTGTTCATTGAAATTAATTAGGGACGCTTTATTCCTGCCCTTTTATTCCAATTTAACCAATTAAAACGTTAAGACGACGTCATCAAACTACGACCGGAAGCATAACTGAAGACGTCTTTTTTGTGAGACAGATTGTTTACATCATGGCGGCGTTGGATTTCAAAGGTAGCTAAAATCGGCTGTTTATTATTTGTCAGTTATCTTTGCAGTAGTGATATTTAATATAGCAGCAATATTCTGTTGAGATATGCTGCTGCGTAGATCTGCTGATGGCAGGTTCCAACTATATGTGTTAGTGCTAGAAGCTAACTTTAGCAACGATTAGCATCTCCTCCGCTTGTATTAGCATGTCGGCTAACTTAGCTAATGTTGACTGTCAACAATAACTGTCACTACAGCTTTTTAGTTAAGATAACTTAACTCGTAACGTTACTTAAGGGTTCAGCCGTTATCAGATAACAGGGGAGAAATCAACTGTTTGTATCTGTGTCATACAATACAATACTACATGGCATTCTATTCATTTTAATTTAATACTGGTATGAACTGAAATACTTCCAAACAGCAGCAAAGGCAATCGGGATATTGGGACATTAGGTTTGACTTGATTTTGTTCCGTCATGCAACATAAAGATAACACAAAATATTCACAAAACAAAACAAAAAAAAAGGTTTTAAAAACTGAAGACCCAAAGAAATGTGTTGGTGATTAAGCTCTTCTGAGATGCTTACAGTCCTGATGGCAAATTCAAAGCTGTTATTCATTATCCTCTTTTAAACAGACCCGGACATTATAACCTGATGATGATGATGATGATGATGATGATGATGTGTATAACATTAGTGCCTGCTCCGTCCATGCCTTAAAAGTGCTCGGCAAAATCCTGATATCATTTTGAACCTGACATATAACCAATGTAAAAAGATTGGACTGCCCTCAGCTTAGGACGTTAGTTACATTTTTTTTTTGGTTCAATTTGCAGACAACCTTCTTGGGATTTCCTGGGTGGACAGCGGCTGGGTACCGATTCTTAACCCTGGAAATGTACTGGACTACTTCTCTGAGAGAAGTAACCCCTTCTATGACCGAACCTGTAATAATGAGGTAGTGAAGATGCAGCGGCTTACTCTGGAGCATCTGAAGTAAGTTTATATTACACAGTGCAATTTGGTGCTATAAATACATATGAATAAAGTGTCACATTGATCTAGAGTGTTGATACTGAATGCATTGTAAGATTCATGCAAATAGACAACACCAACACAGATATTGCAGTTATTAATACTTGATCTGTTTTAACGGTCAGAGAAATATTCACTACAGATCTGCTAGTTGTAGTGATGAGTGTCAATAAAAAAGCTGACATTGTTTGTCTTATTGTCAGTCAGATGGTGGGAGTGGAGTACATTCTGCTTCACGCTCAGGAGCCAATTCTTTATATAATCCGGAAACAACAGAGACAGTCGGCAACACAAGGTGAGCAGTGTAGCGTCTGATTGCTACTGATGCTCTACAAAGTGCATGTATATTACTGTTTGATAATGATACAGTTACTCATAAGCAGCCTGGTGAATTGGAGTATCGATGATGCAGCTGACCACACGTGTCCTCCCTATCATTATTATCCAGCAACAGAGTTTATATGTTTTTATGTATTTAAATGCCAGATTTGTGATTATATGAGCTAATACTCATGGCTGTCACACAAAAAATACACACAATTGTTTATTTTAGGCTCTTTTTTTAGGATATTATTGCCACTTCCACTTTATGTTTTCATCTTCCAGTGATTCCTTTGGCTGACTACTACATCATAGCAGGAGTGGTGTATCAGGCACCAGATCTGGGAACAGTAATCAGCTCCAGAGCGGTGAGATAGTTTGATCCTCTTAAATGCACTTGGAGCAGAGTATTATAAATGTTGTTTATGGTAGATTTATATAACACAAAAATCCTGTCACATGAATCTGTTTTAGCTGTCTGCTTCCCATGGAATCCAGTCTGCTTTTGATGAGGCCATGTCATATTGTCGCTACCACCCATCCAAAGGATACTGGTGGCACTTCAAGGACCAGGAGGAGAGAGGTTCGGTTTTTTGCAGTTCATTTAAATGTACATTTGACACATTGTCGTGGTAGTGTTATTCAAAGTGAGATAGTTCCTGTAAAGCAACAGGTAGTGAAGACTACAAGAGCCAAAGTTGTGGTGTCCTGCAATCCAAGGTCTTAATAGTAGTGAGTTCAAGTTTAATATGAGCAAAAGCTGATTCACTTCTTTCTTTTTTTTTTTTTTTTTTTTTTTTTTTTAGAAAAAAACAAACCCAAGTCGAAGAAGAAAGAGGAACCGAGTTCTATGTTTCAGAGGCACCGTGTTGACACGCTCCTTTTAGACCTCAGGTCAAAGTTTCCACCAACATTCTACCAGGTACATGTTACACCGACTCACAACACTTATTCATGTCAAACTTTCTCCATCTTTTCTTCAGAAACATCCGGTCATACAATTATTTTTCAAATTATTGCGATTGCCTCGAATAATGTTTTTCTTTCTGTGATTTCAGCCCAAGCCTGGTGAGAAGCCAATTCCAGGTAAGACCTTAAAATAGTTTGATTATATTCAGATCCTGAAGTTACTTAAAAAATAAACGCTGATAGAGCTGTAAATTGGGTTATATTATATGGTTTTGCATTTTTATTTTGTGCGGTGCTTGTGGTGGTATTATTATTAACCTTAAGTTTATGTATAACCGTCAGTTTAACATTGTCTCAACATTCAGAAATTTCACACGTGACATCTAAATTTCAAAGTAGACATTCAGATTTTGATGATGTTGTGAAGATATATCCACAAACTCCACAACTTTTCCTCAGATCGTATGCTCTTGTATCGCAGTTGAGGTGAAGAAAGAGCCCGAACCCCCCGCAGAAGCTGTTAAACAAGAGGAAAGGGAACCAGCCACAAAGTCCTCCGCCCCAGCTCCGCCAAGCAAACCACCTCCTGAGAAGAGAGCAAGGCTGCAGTGAGAAGAACAGTTATGCTTCTCACACTCTTGGAAGATGGAGCAAGGAAATGTAGAGTCCTACAGCACTAACCAGCTTGGGAGTATTTCTGTTCTCTTGTCAAATTTGAAGATCGTCTGCCCCTCTGCTCATTCGATCAGTTTACAGGAGGCTAAGAATGAACTGGCACAAAATAATGCCAGTTGCTTGTCTCCGTGCCAGTACTACTTTTACATCGTAACCTAAGTCTTGTGCACGTGATCAGTTTGGCATCATGGACATTTCGGGCAGCTGTGCTACAAACAGGGCTTAACTGCTTGATGTCAGCAGACATTTAGCAGTATTCACAGAGGATGAGGGTTTTTTGATGAAGAGCTGACATCAGCATCAATGTCGGTTTACTGTCGACGTGAGCGTAATATTTGTGTTGTAATCATTTCAGAGGACAGTTTAGTTCCCAGTGTGCTTTACAGGGTGATGTGTCAGAATGCATCATCTGTAAAGCACAAAGCTTCTTGACTTCAGCACCTCTCTTTAGTTACAAATACTTTCATCTATTGTTTTGTAAGGACTATTTTTGTTTGTGTTTTTGTATTAAAATGTATCAGCTACTGTATGGTTTGGTTTTTGATTGTTGACAAGTAATAATCTTGCTTGATCAGTGTTCTGAACAGAAGATCGATCTATATATCTATATATATATATATCTATATATATATATATATCTATATATCTATATCTATCTATATATGCATACATTTCAGAGGCAAATATTGTACCTTTTACACCACTACATGTGTCTGACAGACAGCTGGAGTTACTGGTTAATTTACAGATAAAGATTTTACATTAAAAGCATATAAAACACAATGTGTAAACACAACCTTTTAAACTGGTGACCCCTTAAAGAGAAGATCCGTGTCTAGTTGAGAACCGTGTCACTTTTTTTTAGATGTCTGAGTTGTTTGCAGTTCTACAAATTATGCTCAAATGGTTTCTTTCAAGGTCCAAAGACACAATTATCAGTATTTCACAAAAAGGTTAGGGAATGGAACAAATAAAAACAAATGTGTGACTTTATCTTGACTTTTAGGACCTTTCAGTATCAAACTACCAACCCGTGTTATGTTTATTTAGCTGTATTTGTAATTCCTGAGTGCTTCCATTACGGATGGTTTTGGTTTATTCTCTAAAATCACAAAACAAATGAGCAGCAAGTGAGATAGAAAATGGGAGAATGTGTCCAGCAGGTGTCGCCATTTGGTCATATTTAGTCCGAGCTCCTAATTGCCCGATGATGCATTTGATTTCATGCATTTGTCTTTTTAGTCACTCAGGATATAATATTATTTCACCAATGGGAAAGAAAGAGGGCAACAAAAGATTTAAAAGCACAAAGCAAGGTGTATATTTTCTTTTAGCTGTTAAATAGCTGCTCCCATGCTCCTCTGTTGCGACTATCGATCGCTACTACGTATTACGGAGGCCACGAAGAAGAAGTTTCTCGCAGGGCGTGGTGGGATAGCAGTCTCCTCACAGTGGAGGACTGAGAACAGTGCCCCAGCTGGCTGGCTAGCAGCAGAAGAAGAAGATGGCTGCAGAGGGGGTTCTCAGGCCAGTGTCTGAAAACAACAGAGCACCGTTTGTCATGTTCAGCGACGACTAGCCAGCGTGTCACCCCGGTTCCGCCCGTATATTCGTCGGAGGGGACAAGACAACATGGGGTCGCAGACTCTACAGATCCTGAGGCAGGGGGTCTGGGCTTCAGTCACAGGCGGATGGTACTACGACCCCGATCAAAACACATTCGTCAACGCTTTGCATCTCTACATCTGGCTGTTTCTGCTATGTTTCCCCTTCACACTTTACATGGTGAGCCGTGCTGCGTTTGTTTGTTTTAACCCCTTTATAATCCCTTTGTTTATGTTTTTTTGTCTTGACTGTTGACACCGTTAAGTTACCGAGGCGAAGGGTCCGTTAAAGGTTAGCTGCCACGGGGATACTAACGGGTCGGTCCCTGTCTATTATCTGGAGCGGAGACAATGTAACGTCTCACCGAACTTAACGAAACGTCACGGAATATTTCCACGACACTCAAAAACGTTTCGTAAAACCAAAAAGGTTGCCGTAATTACACGCAGATAAAACCTTATTTTGCATGACACAAATGGCAAAAAATAATCTGTAAATGGCTGCCCCCCCCCCCCTGAAGTGAACCGTCCACCACATAGATAGGACCAGAATGCGCTTTTGTGTTAATTTCTGTGGTGCAGTTCAGATCCGTGAGGATATGATCAGTGGATTCCACTGTGTCAGGCTGTAATCAGTGAATTTAATTCCCCCCCCTCTTGTATCTCGTTGTTTTCCTCCTGTCGGTGGTGATTTGCGGTATCACCAGTTCTCAGGAGCTCCCAGCTGTGAACTGCAAAGAGCACCAGCTGACCAGGATGTAACAGTAATCTGGCAACTTCAATGTCCAAGAAGCAGACTCCATTAACTGGCTGCTGTTTGCTCACTTCATTTGTCACAAGGTGTCTTTGTTTTTGTTTTAAAGGCACTGCTTTGTGTTTACTTTTGCACAGCAGTAGCTCGCCCTCTAAACTGTTTAAGGACCTGACACCTCCACATAAGTTATACTCCACTTGTGCCTGTTATTTATGGGCTGTTTGTCCAAATAGTTCAGACTCCAGTACAAGTTGTAATGGCAGTGCAATCATTGTGTTTTTAACACAGCTTTTTTTTATTTTTTAAATGTACTCAGGTCAGGAAGTGGTTGTTTGCTACGCCTGCTAACTTCTATATTGAGAAGCTGGTGTTTCAAAAAAGGTTTGTGGTTTCCGTTCTATTCCTGGAGTGGAAATGCGCTGGTCAGCTCTGTGGTTTATGTCGAGCCACAGATCTGAGTGGTGCTTCACAGATGCAAGCGGTGGGATGTCTCAAGGACAGCAGAGATGCAGCTCAGGCACCTTGTGGTAAACGCACAGGTGTCTCCTTCCTGGGCAGCTTCACAACTGGAAAGAGACATTTAGAAGATGATTGAATGCTGTAGTTTTTTTTTCTTAACACGCTGGCGTCATAAATAATTGGCTTAATGGTCGCGATAATGCATTCAATCATTCTCTCAGCTGTGGTTAGGGGAGCTAACTTGGATGCAGTAGTTGGTTACAGTTTCAAGATTATGAATCCTGTCGGCGCTTGATCTGTCTGCTGAGAGGAATAATTTAAGAGTAATATACAGTCAGCGTCATCCTATTCTTTCTACATTATCAGATACCTTAAATTAACTTCTACGTCTTTTTCTAATGCCAGGCACTGCAAACGAGCATGGTGATAGTGGGAATCTACTGTGGTGTTATTGCTGCCATGTTCCTGCTGCTGAAGACGGTGAATTTCCGCCTCCACCATGCCCTGGATGAGGGGGAGGTGGTGGAGCACCAGGCCAAGGAGAGTCAGGGCAGCAGAGGTGGCACCGAGGGGGCGAACGATGTCGGCGTCACCCGTCGGCAGGACAGCAATGGCCCGGGGTAAGTTCATGTCTCGCTCGGCCCAATGGGGGGACGCGATCTCTGGCGACGTAGGACAAAGACGCTCCAGGAGTGTGACTAAGCTGCTCGGATGATGAGGCAGAAACAATTAAGGCTGTGTAGGAGTTTTGTGAATTAGCTGGAAGATGTCATGCTTCCTGACCAATGATGGCGAAGAGTCACATGGAGTTATTTAAAGGCGATGTCATCTGGAGCTGAGGTGAAAGGTCTGGTGCTCCAGTGGTGAAAAGACACAGGTTAAATAAATCGCTTTAGAGGCTTCCAGCAAATCGAGCTCAGCTGTAACGGCAGAAAGGATTGCTACTTTTCACCGTTATTTAGTAGAATCACCTGCAGAAAGGGAGAGGTCTTAAAGACAACAGACATTTCAATTTATTAGATGAGACACACCATGCATGTTTAATCACCAGTGCATCCTGTGGGGAGTTTACTTCCAAAGTATTCAGGTATTCCCTTGTTCAGTCACTTTTAGATTTTAAAAAATGTGTGCTTTTTAGTGTGTTGTTGATGAAGCATACTTGAAGGTGCCCTGTGGAGTTTTCTTGTAAACAGTATTTCTTTTAACATTCAGTGTTAATGTTGCATTGTGGGATGTTTACGTTAGCGTTGTGGCCGGTGTCTCCAAAATGTAGTATTTCACTAGAAATAGTAAGCAGTTCAGCCATTGTTTGTGTCTTTGAGGCCTAACAAACATGTCGATGCGAATGCATTTCCTCCTCGATAAAACACTTTCAAAGCCAAATTTTTTTTTGTTTTTAAAATGTTTAAAACCTGCATGGTTTACATTCAGCTTTACTTATTTCTGCTGGCGCATTGCTGTGGCTCTTGTAGGCCACGTGTAGACCAGTGATATACCGTAGTGTGAAACAGTTGGCAGCAACGTGCATCACGTCACCCACATTTATGTCTGGGCCCACTCACAGAGCATCTCCTCCATTTAAGTTCATTTCAGTTGTAAGCATGCTCTTTTACCCAGGATGCAGCTGGTTTTTCATATATTCTCACTTTTTTTATGCTCTGCTCCGATGCTATGGCACATGCGTTGTTAGAGTGGTATTCATGTGTCGTATGTATAGACGCATGAATACCGGCTCATAAAATGTCATGATAGAACTTGTCATACCTCTTATGCCACCGCTTCTTTTGGAGAGCAAATGATCCGACTAGATTTTGGATCATATTACTGCTTACATTGATATCTCTAAAAACACTGAATATCCTCAAAGCACAAACATTTCCATGAGTAACCCGTATGTTTTTTAGAGTGTGTTGACAGTGAAATATGTGCTAAATGATGCTCTGATTGGGGACATTAATGAGTTCATAAGTATGAGGGTTATTAGAAAAGCCAGTGAGGTTCCGGCGTTTTACTGCCGGAGATGTGACTCATGTTCACATTCCAGAGGGAGTGCTTAGCGGGACGCTGAGAGAAGGGAAAGGCAGCAAGAAGAGTGAGAGCTCCCGACCACAGGGGCAGTCGCAGCTTTGCCCACACATCTGGAGTTACATTCCGGGTTGTTTGAGTTTACAGTAGAGCAGACGAGCCGAGCTGAAGTTGATTAAGGGTGTTTTTTTTTGCACCACCGCCCACCCATGTTCCCCTCACTGGTCCCTTTTTCTAGTGTCCGCTCATCCGCTCTTTGCGTTCTAGTTCATTACTTGGTTGTGTTTGTGTTGTGGTTTGACCCGTTATGAAATGTTTTTGGCAAATAGAAATGATTTATCGACCATCGCTGGCAACTTGCTTGTTTCGACATACCGAATGGTTAAACAAGCACGTCCGGGCTAAAAATAGGCCGGGACAAAAAATCTACATGGATGCTTTCGTCTGTTTTTGCTCCTTCAGTTGATTTTAAAAACCCACATAACAGATGTAAAATACAGGCCTGTGTAATAAAGTTACATGATTTGTTCAGCTCTAAATTGAGTCAGGTGTGAGCCAACTGTACGTCATCCAAAAAAGATGAATTGCACTCTTCAGTCTGTGCTGTCCATTCAGATTTAAGGGAGGGGGTCCACTGTGCCTGTACTGGTAATACCAATGTGTGTGTGTGTGTGTGTGTGTGTGTGT